TATGTATGTATATATATATATATACGTACCGGTAAATTTCGTTCTTACAACGGCACGATCCGACGCACATATACCGGTTACGATGTCACTATTGCACTTCACATACAGGTAAAACCGCGCGTCACAGAAATATCTCTGTGACGGGACGATCACACGATTTCACACGATCTCACACGATCTCACACGACGACACCACCGTGCAACGAGGCATCGAAAGAGCACAGCAATTCCCCTCCCCTCCCCACCTCTCGTCGTTTCTATTGGTCGAATATGCTCGCGCACGTGACGACTCGACGAAATCCTCTCCCCTCCAGTATTCTTCTTTCGACATATCTCCGCGAATCACTCTCCTTGCAGACGAACATGTACATCCTTTTTCGAACAGGAGTTCGTTCCTCTCGTCTCTGTTGTCGAAAAAATCGTAGTCGATCGATTTTTCTCTTATTCCCGAAAGGAATCGTCGCGTCGATTCGGCATCTCGCCTTTTACGATTGAATGCTGATTTTTGCATCGTCGGTGTCATCGAAAGAACTCGAGGGCTTCCAGGATCATTTCTTCCGAGCCGATCGGATCGGATCGGATCGGATTGGATCGTTTGACGAAGCAACTGGGGTACTCGCGTGTACGATCACCAGAATCTCTGGGCACTGTCCCACAGGTTCTTCAAGCTTGATCGGAACTCGAAACGGAAGTTCTGGTAGTATCACGCTATGTTGTTGCCGCTCATCGTGGTCACGCATTTTTTCTCCGGCGTGTTTTGACTCTCGGAGTTGCTGCGCACCGCCTTCGTCGGGCTTCCAGGGGTCGGCGTCGAGTCGCCTGGCAACGGATTGTTGTTGTTGGTCGACGTGGAGCTGCGGCGGCCGTTCTCCCGGGTCGGCGACTTCACGTCGAACACGGAAGTGTCCGATTCGATGTCCGAATCGATCTGCAAACGACACGAACTGAATGTATCGCGCGATGGTTTTCCAGTACGCGATCGAACCACGTGCAACGTAATGTTTTTAGTACGGAGTCTCGCGAGCAGCTAACACTACAGGGTGGGCCGAAAGTTTCCTCCCACTTATTCTTTTTTCTTTTTTTTTAACAAAACTGATTTTATTAATTTTAAATTAAATTTTAAATTTCAAACATGTTTTTTTTTCATTATATTTTAACAATTGCTGAGAAAATATATAATAAAAGAGTTTATTTTAGCGGGAAGTGATTTTTAGCTCACCTTGTAAATGCACGTAGTTGGCTAAAGTACAACTAACTAAATACGAAACAGGATTATTCTTCGAAATGAAAAATCTAATGGATTTTTTTTGCCATAGGTTCGCTAACGACTACTTGGCTGTTTGCATCCAACCCAGGGCTTCCCAAAGTGTGAATCGCGTAAGTAAATTTGGGTTGCAGAAATTATAGCAAAAATTAGTATGAATATTTGGCCTTGTCTTTAATACATGGTAAAATTATATTTCAATTATTTATGTATACCAAAGAATTGTTTTCGAATAAATTTTCTTTGTGATTTCTTATCGACAAATGTTTTAATTCCTAGTTTATACATCTGTATACCCAGAGTCAGGAAAATATTTGCTCGGGTAAAAGGGATTGCCAAGTGTTGAAGAGTTTGAGAAGCCCTGATCTAACCTATTCAATGCACAATATTGGTATGAAAAAGTATTGGCACGCTTGATTTTTGTGAAAACAAATAATGCATTGACGAAATCTAAGTATATTAAATATACAATCTAAAATCTAAATAATTTGCTACGTTAAATAATAATAAATAATTTACTGCAAAAACAATGTGCACAATAGTAATTTCCAGTAATGAGTTATAGAATAGTGATGGGAATCAAAAATGTATTAACATGTCTTAATATTTTTAAGACGTCCAAATATGACGTTAAAAGTGTACTTTCTCAATATTAATGCGATGTCATTCGATACATTCATGTATCGAACATTCTAATATTTACAAAAAGATATTTTTCTGTAATAATTCCGCTTTTTGATTCTCGAATTTCTATGTTTCTCGTATCATTATTGTATAATTTATTATACAATATTGGAAATTGTGCACATTATCTTTGTATCTAGTGAACTATGAAAATTGTCTATAAATTTTGCTAATATATCGTTTGTTTTCATAAAGATGTAACGAAAAAACTAGGTGTGGCAATACCTTTATATATATTTGTATACAGGCTGGTTTATTTAGGTGAGGCTATTTAAACAGACGGTGGAAAAATATTTTTTTTTCGCGTAATACGATTGGTATCGAAAGGCCAATAACTAGTAAGAATTTCTTTTTTTCCCACTATGTTTCACAACTATGTATTTTTTATTATTGCATCTTGTAGTTGGTAAAAAAATGTCTTCAGATATGTAAAGAATGTGACTTTCAAATAACACTTTTGAACATCAGCGTCATTTTAAGGTTATGTCATTTACACATCTGAACGTATTTTTTTATCAGTTACATAAAAAAAAAATTTCTTTTTTTATTGGCCTTTCGATACCATTCGTATTAGGCGAAAAATATTTTTCGCATCGTCGAAAAATTCTAAAAGATATTTAGCCTCATTTAAATGGGCCACCCTGTACATTGCGTGCACGAGGCGATCGGTCGACGGGTGGCGTGGAAACTGCGAGATCTATCGATATCGATGAAATGAAAACGACGACGAAATGAAAACGTCCGGATGAAACGTGAGATGTTGAACGTTCATTCTTCACCTTTTGCAATCGGACTGAAGTTTCCGAGCGTGGGGGGAGAATTACGGGCGGAAATAATGGCGCGTGAAGATGGAAGATGATGCACTACCTTGTTGAAACAGACTACCTGTCTGGTAGCTGGGTGCGGGCTGAGGAACGATCGTTCGCTGGTGTCGCTCCCGCAGCTGGAACTTTCGCTCATCTCCGTGGTGAATTTCCGGGACGCTCGCGGACTAGGGGGCGCTGCTCCGCGGTTCTGGCCCCCCAAATTTATTCCTACGTTTCTCGAGCAGACCTGTGACTGAATGTGCTCGCATACCCTTCGAAATCTTCGGATGTTGCCTGGAAAGATAGAAGAAGGAACATGTACGACGAATGGAACGGAACGGATCGTCGAATGAACCCCGAGCGATCGAACTACGGACGACGCGTGCGACTTGAAATTTCATGCGACGATACAGGACGATAAGGGAAGACTAACATCGATCTAGTTGCGCTTGGACGATTGCCAGACGGCAAAATCGAATCCATCCTTGCCTTTCGAGAGGAATGCCTCGTCGTTCGTCACTCGTTCTTTCAATTCGATATCTCGTTAATAAATTCTCGGGGATTATTCGACATCGACAGAGGGCGCTCGGGTGTCCAGTATTTGGAAATACGAGGTCCGTGCTTACCGCTCAGTAGAGTGAAGGTTATAGCGAACAGTTCGTTCGGCTGTTTCGATATGGTGCTAATGTCGACTTGAAAACGGACTTGTCTCTGGAACATGGCCGGCGCCGTGCTTCCCCTTTTGTATTCCACTTTGAAGGACATCGGCGAGCTCACGCTGTGGGACAGCTCCGCTATCTGTTGATCGAAACTTGCTTGCTTTTTTACGTGGACCCGCACAAAACGTAAGCATTCGCGAGTTTTCCTATTGTATCGAAACTTACCGATAAAAAGGCGTGAATCAGGTCGGCTTTGACGCTGGCCAGCGCCTTCCCCTTCACCAAAATCGTGAACGTTTCGTCCTTTTCCGTGGTCATCAGACTACCGAACCACGATTTCTTTGTAAGCTCCGGCGAGGAATCCGGCGTGAGATGTACCTGCGTGTGAAACCGAGTGAGACGTGCAACTTAACTCTTGGGTTTTCACTTGTATTTACTTCGAGATAAATTAGGTAAATCAGCCTGATGAAATTCAGTGTTTCTCATTTGCTTATTCATTATTACTGTCATTTACTTTTTGTAATTTTTCAAAGTGTGATGATTTTTGAAACAGTTGTAGTGATAATAATTGCTTTCACAATTCTTCAAAATGTGATCATTTTTAACACTAACCAAGTACCAAGCCCGGTCAAACGACGGTTTCAAAATTCAATTAAAAATTGTACATTTATTGTTACTTTTTTTGTTCATCTAACTTCATGCAAATTCTTAGATTATTTGATTAATCAATTTCTCAATTTTTTTCTTTTTTTGGCTTTTTTTTTATTGAGAAAAATTCATCGCCTGTCAAGTATTGTATTGTATTGTATAGTCACATTGTGACGACGTTCGAGTACAAAGGGTGGAAAAAGTACAGATAAAAATACGTACCTCCTCGGCGCTCGTGAGCAGTTTGCGCCGATGAAATCGGGGACTTCCGAGGAACGAGTTTTTGATGGTGGTCAACCTCGATCGCCAGTGATGAGCGCTAGAACCGGCGCCAGTGTGCGGCGAGCCTGGCGGTGTAACGCCGACCGCAACTACTGCGAAACCAACAATTCTTTATGCGTGTTTTACCGCTCGCGTCGTGCCTCGCAATGTGTAATTTGAGAAGCAAAAACGCTCGAGAAGAGAATTCGCAACGGGCTGCTGGATCTACCCTCACAGTCGATACAGTTACTTTTACTTTGTTGTTTACCTTACCGACGAATTACCTTATCGAACAAATTACCTTACCGACAAATTACGAACGCGGGGTTTAAAAAAATTTAAAGAAAAAGGAAACAAACTCAAAATGTACCGTGTAGAGTACAGTGGAGCCTCCTCTATCTAAACTTTTATTTTTAATACGAAATCGTTGCAATAAAATGTCAATGAGTGATGATTTTCATCAATTAGCAGTTAGTCTCGCTCGATAATATAACACATTCAAATATTAATACATTGTAAACGGGCTGTTTTTGACGATTTGAGACTTCTTCCTTTGGAAGAGAATGTTAAAAAATCGCTCAAATTACTAATATATTGTGAATATTTATTTCTTCTTTCTTTAATTCTTCGATGATTTTTTTATTATAAAAAAAAAATACTAGTTTATTCTGGTTAACAAAAAGAATATTAAATGCTAAATTATTAGCGACATAAAATTAATATTAATTTTGACCAAAATAATATATCTTGTGAAGATTTGGATCTCTATTTTTTCTGATGGCACCACGTACTCTTACTTTTTTTATTTAATAGAATTTTCAACACTATTATAATATAAAATTGTCCGTATAAAGATGACACGAGTACGTATATGGAGACATAATAGTTTGTCTCAATTACTCTTAACCTCTGAGCAAAATAAATCTCAAAATTTTCACGCGCCAGAATTCTGTAATTTCGTAATTTTCAATGGATCTAAAATCTTTTTAGGTTAGGTTTGTAAACATTCATAAATTCTGATATAAAAATAGTCTACAAGCGGTTTTACTTTACACAGTCTATCAGTTCACTTAAAAAAAAAATAAAAAAAAAAAAAAGTTACAAGACCAACGATATGTTGATACGTTTCCCGTATATATAGTGTGTTAAGATATTCGAGAAATACTGATTTGGATTTGGAAGGATTTTTGATATTTCATTCAACGTGTAGCGTTGTCTCGCGTTTCTGTTGCAACGACAGCAAGAGGAAAGAAAGAAACGAAGCGAAGGATCGTCGACGACGAATGTAAATACACACGCGCGCGCGCGCGCGCAAGTAGGCGTCGTGCCTCTTTAACAATGATTCGTACGCGGTGTGTTTCGTTACGTTCCGTGCGCAGCGCGGAGGTCACCTGCATTTTTTAAAATCACCCCAGCTATTAACCCTTTCTGGCAAGATGAAACGCGCACTCAGACGTCGGCTAGGGGGCGTCCCCGATGCCCCAAGCTTTTGTTCGCCCTGTATAAATTCCCTGGACACCAGGGTAGTATTTGCCTCGTTTCAGCTACGTTTATCCACGCATTTCACTACGTTCGAACTTTCGAATTAAAGTATCTTGTTTAAAAGACAGCAAGTCTGGTTTAGAAGAGTCTTCCTATATATAGAGGGTGTCTCATATGAAGCTATCCTATATATACAGGGTGTCCCATATGAAGCTAACCACGCAATTTTCTATTAAACTATTCATTACAGAGAAAAATGTTTCAGATAAAATTTGTTTCGTTGTTTCGAAGGGCACATCTTATGGTGGCTACAAAGCTTGTCTAGATGACCGTACTTCCAAGGTTTCAAGATGACCTTCGTTTTTTTAAATGGAACCGTATATTTTTTAATTCATACTCTCTAAGATGTAACTCCCTCGAAGTAATGCAAGTTTTATTTTTCTCTATAGCGAATAGTTTAAGAAAAAATTGTGTGGTTAGCTTTTATGGGATACCCTGTATATATGCACGTATAATAATCTATATGGGCACATATTCGGTGGTTGATTACATTTTTCGACGATATTTTCGTAGATCAAGCCTAGATGCATCTTCAAGCTTCGAACAAGTTAATTTCAAGAGAATTTGCGATTGATCGACTTGCATAAATAAAATGTTTTCCTAATTAAGCATCTGTCGCTGCCTCCACCAATTCTTGTATTGCATTGGGACTATCCCCACTCTACTTTACCATGCGGCCGCGTGAAACATGACACTTGACACAGAAAGTACACACAAACAAGCTATATACACGATGTATACGATACTGATATTGGTACTTGGATTGATGAAGCAGTTGATGCTCATTCCCTCTCTTTCCTTCGGTGCCAATTCGCAGAATACACCTCCCCACTTAAGCGTCTGCTTTCAATCCCGAATGCGGACGCTTAAATAAGGACTGCTGTATGTAATAAGGATACCCATAAGTAATGTCGTTTTTCGACACTGTACGAAATTTTATTTAAATTATTTTTTTTAAATCATTGTCACCAGATGGCAATCTCTATTAAATTTGAAAAAAAACGACGAACACTTATGGATTAATATTTCTTTTCGACGTTCTATCGACTGAAGCGCCACCGATTACCGACCGATAAAGTGCGTCAATTGTTTCAAACACTCGTCACGTGACCTCCGATCATCCCAAGACACCACAGACGAGGTATATGAGGTATATCATGCAAAGACACGTAATTATAATTTCAGCTCTCGCGAGTGACAAGGGAATCTCACGAAACTGATTCGGTAAAATGTTATCGTGTAATCACGTCGAGTGAAAGTAAAGGATAAAAACGGATGGCAAAAGCCTCACCCTGTTGGACGTCGTTTATCTCTATCCCGACGTTGGGCAGCACTGGGACAGGGGCCATGACAGATGGCGTGCTGGTGTTTCCGTTCCCCGCAGTGGCCGTCACCGCCGACAGCCGGTGAGGGCTTATCGTTTGACCTAGGTGCGAGGTCGGTGGAGGGGCCCTGTGAGGACTGAGCAGCCCTGCGACCGCGTTCGAGACGTGCAACGGCGAGCTACCTGGCGTCGATGCGTGCGAATGCGACGCGTGTGTGTGGCACCCGGTACTTGGCGAACGACGAGCGTGATGCCTGGTGCTGCAAGAAGAGAGAAGGAGGAAATTCCGAGGTGGTCGTTAGAGAGAAGGCTGACAGATATACAATTAGGTTAGGTCAAGTTATTTAACCCTCTGTGGGCCCGTGTAACTTTCAAGTCACATATTAGTATATCGATATATTTTATTAAATAATTGAACTTTTTTTCTACAAGATGGCGTGCACGTCTTGTGTACAATGTCTCCTTATTAACCAGTGCAACATTCTTGATAACAGTTATTACCTCTATCCTGAAATGTCAGTTTTATTATTTGTCACAATAAAATTTTTGAAATTGCTGAATTCATTGTTAATCCGTAGTATAGATTGATATTTGTTGATCTTGCGTTACATAAATTTTTTTATAAGAAAAATATTCGGCCTATAGAGGGTTAAGACAGATTTTTAGTATTTTGGTTAGAGTTTATAAAAAGCAAATGTCAAAAAGATCTTTCGTGAGAAACGAAAACTGTATCAGACGATCATTTATATTGATAATATTCATTTTGTTTGATAATCTCTCTTTTCTTTTTGGGCAACTTTATGATTGCAGTGAAAAGTCACTTATTTGATAGAGCTTTATCAAATTGAAGCCTCCATTTTTTACTAAATTCCGTTGTTCTCGAAAGAAAGAAAGATTACTTTGCATACTCGACACAGTGACAACAGATTTACTTTAAAACAAGAAAATTGATCTGTGACTCGAAATGGGCCGATCTTGCCGTAACGATAACCGATCCCGCGAGGATGTTTAGAATTTATAGTGAGGATGATATGTTTGGAAGCCGCAGCTCGGACCAGGTGATACGTTGATTTCGCGAGTTTGGCGTTCCATCGGTTCGGAATCGGTCGTTCTTGATCAGGCGAGAGCCAATCGTTCGAACGGAAGTCGCACGCGGCAGAGGGCGCACGGGAGGGAAAAAACTAGTATAGTATAGGTTGGTGTGTGGACATTCGCGTCGAGGGAGCGATCACAACGAGTTGTCACGCGATCGTGGAACTTGGACGAAGCAGATCGGCGGTGTGCTTCGTCGTTTCACACTTTGCCACGCGCTTACCTCGACTGTCTTCGAGGCGTTAAAGGAGAACCGTGGCTAATTTCACCGAGATTCAGGGTGGTGCTGCCGTTCACTCGACACGTGTCCACTCGCTTTCTCGGTGGGTCCGCTTCCAACTGTCCGGCGGATCCTCTCATGCCTCCTCTCATTACTTCCAGCTCGTCCTCGCACGCTGGTCTCCTCCGTTTCCTCTCCAGCAGCAGAAAATATATCACCTTCTCCGTGTTGTGACTGCACCGAGAGGAAAGACACCGGCTAGAGTGAGAACCTCGAAATTTCTCGAGATACCGGAAAGTTCGATCGTGCCGATTTTTCAAGGAAAATTTTCAGAGGCAACATTTTTACGTTATGTATTCACCATTTTGTTCTACAACAAACTTTCCTACTCGCACGAAGAAGGCACTCTAGATTCTCGAAGCGATTATTATATATGTACTTTCCACTCTCGAATCTTTAACTTTCTTTTATTACGTGCGACGTGTTATAGAAGAAATTTATTTTTGCTTTGCAAAAAAAAAAAAAAAAAGAAAGAAAAAGACGTTTGTAATGTAACGCTGAACCTACCAAAACAGTCCAAAATGACCAATTTGTAATTTTCGTTGGATATTTTATATTTACGGATGCAAAGCAGGATGTATTTTTAGAAATTTAAATGATTTTTTGTAAAAATATGACGCCCAATAAGAGAGGATCGTCTTCACTTTTCAAAAACAAAAAAATTTTTATAGAGATTTCTCATAAAATGTATAAATAAAAGTTCCTATTATTATTATTTTTTTTTTTTTCTTTTTACTTGAACATT